CCTTCCAACTCACAACGTTCTGTGATTCTATTGGAGTAGTTTGGTCCAGTTTGCACTGATCACAGGGCTCAGGCAATCCCCCCCCCAGTGCTGTGGGGATCCCAAGTGAAAATACACAGAGCTACCCACAGTGTCCATGCATCATCAGCTGCATCAAGCCAAGAATACACTGGGCCCAAGTTTTTCAATCAATCCTGTGAGCTTCCAGAATAGAGAGCTACTTTAGAATAACCACAAAACAGTTACTGAAACTTTAAGAAGTGACACTCTTGACAGTGTCACTTCATCTTGCAGCACAGCTATGTGAAAAAAAATGACGATGCAGATATAGCTAATTCTGACCATTCAGCAAAGGCATATGAAATCTCACCTTCACCTCTTCCATTTAAATGCAAACTGAAGCAGTTAGGAAATGAAGGAGCTGCAGGTACCAGGGAATAACATAAAATAATTTGTTTAGAAATCAAAAGAATTAATGTCTCAATGTTATTCACTGAGACATATTATCCTTCACCTAGACCACAATAAGACAAGGTAATTCCACTTGAGCCTCAGCTCACAGCTGAGTGGCACAAGGACACAAAACACAGCTGCCTGCATTCATGAAGGCCACCTGTCCTTCTGCACCTCTTGTACTCATGAGCTAGGCAGTAGCACAGAGCACATATGCTAGCTGTCAAGAACTTTGCTGAACGTTGTTTCCTCCTTGTAGGACACAAGAGCTTTGGCAGGCACACAGAAGTGGGGCTTACAGCACTAGATTAGGTTCCACTGTATAACTTGTCCTTCTCTACCATTTTCTCTATGGTGCTATTAAGAATGAATATTATATTTGCTTACCTCAAAGCTAAGTCCTACAAATGAAGTCTTAGGGGGCTGCAGAAATGCAAAGGAATTAAACTAGTACAATTCAGCTGTGTGGAAAGGAAGCTGAACCTCAAAGACATTTTGCTTCCTGTTATGCACAAGCACAGAGTTTCCCCAAGCACAAAGTCAAACAGACATAAGAGACAAAGTTAGGAGCCTACCAGGTGGGTCCAAGGATTATAGAAACCACCCAGCTTGAAGACTGGCTCATTATTAGGGTAGGAATAAAGAAGGTCTGTAAAGCACAGTTGCAAGTGCTGCTCACAAAATGTAGATGATTAGGGACACCCAGCTGTCATACAGGCTAAAGACTTGTTCCTTCTTCTGTATCATACGTATAAACTGATCCTGACTCTCTTGGTCTAGACATTTTTATTTGGTCAAATAAATAATTAACTACTATAAAAGGGATGGTTTCAGTGAATACATTTTGAGCTACAAAGCACACATAACCCTTTGTCCCTTATCAAGGCATTCTATCCTGTTCAGTTCAAACTCTTGGATGGCAATTGTCACAGTTCATAAGTTAACAAGGTAAACAGAGATGTGCAATTACCTTTACAGAAGTACTTACAGCCACACTAAAATCACCAGGAAGATTCCTTCCCTATCCTCTTAAGCCAGGGCTACAGTTAGAGATAAGGCCAGGAAAAAACATACTACACAATTATTATAGCAGTCTGGGAAAAGCCTTATGTGATATGCTAAGATATTTAATATCCATTTTGCTTGTCACTGTTCGTGCTTTTTACCCAATTAAGATGCCTTTAGTCTACAGCAATTAAAATTGTCAATAATCAGTTTTATTTTCAGATTCTTATTTCTGCTGCATTGGTATTTTTACACTATAGAGATTATATCTTTTTCTTTTTTTTTAATTTTCAAGTAAATACAGTTTTAACTGAAGGGAGATGTACACTGGGATGTTACTGGCTTTCAGCTGGCTTAAAAGCCTGCATGTACAAAAGCTGTGCAGTTAGACCTGCCAATTGCAGTACACTTACTGAAAGGGAGTGAATTATTCTGTCAATCAAAGTATTAGTTACAGTGTTACAACCTGACTTTTGTATTGCTTTTAAGATATTTCAAATTATACTTCTAGGCATTGAAATAAGAGCTATTTGCTAGCCCTGAACTGAAAGGGAAAAGGTTTTGATTGTATCTGTTTGTACCTGCTGCCTACTAAAATACATCTGTTAGTAAAATAAGGACAGGTATGCCCCTGTTTTTATTAAGAGGTAGGTGGCCAGGGCATGGGAGATGCTAGACTTGCAAGATATTTTTCTTATTCTAATTCCAGGAACAGTTTAAGGTTGCACAAACTTATGCCACCACAGAAACAAGCAGTCATGCCCTCCTCTGCACAGTGCAAGAACAGAGTGGAGGGATGAAAAAGTGAGGCCACCACTTCTGACAGTTAGAAGTTTAGGTTGCCATAAGACACTTCCAGAATCAGTTTAAGACTCTGAGGACAAGACTAAGAGATGCACATTCCCTTCAAAAGCTTTTCCCTAGAGACACAGGGAGGAAACAGTCATCCAATCCAAAGCAAAACTTATGATAGTTGAGATGGCTTTAGATGCTACTGCCTCCAGCTATGTGCTCTGTTTCTTATCTGATGTTACACTTTCACTGTAGATCTGGAAGAACAAATTGCATAACCATACCTTGGCTGATGCAGCTCATGGCTCAGGAAACTAACTTGAATGGCTACTGATTTTAGTTTAAAATAATGCCCTCAAACTAAAGCCTGCACAAACTCAAATACCACCTGTATCACCCTTTGGCCCAAGTACCTGATTATTCAGAAACACAGAGAAACATGGAGAAAAAGGAAAACAGCACTGTTGTCAGGGCAGATCAAAATCTCCTCCTCCCTTCCCATGAGCCAAGGAGGTCGATCTCTAAATAAATTCCCAGCTCTGATTTTAGGCTGCTAGGAAAGTAAGTAAAAAGAGAGAATTCTGTAGAGAAGTGGCTAGGATGACCCAATGCATCCTATTTTTCCATTTAACCCTCTGTGAGAAAGCCCAAAAGGAAAAGTTTCTCAAGACAAGCAACATAGCAGAGCTAGGAAAAGAGGCCTGGAAACTGCTCTTACAGGCAGCTGTGATGTCCCAGGAGTGCTACTGCTATTCAAATTTCATATGTCAACAGCAGCTACTTCTCCTCCCTGGGGACAAAGAGAGAAAATTAATTCTCTCTCTCTCACACTAAGTTTCATTTCTCCAAAACTTCTGTCATAGCTCTCTCTAACAGCTGCATTTTGCACGTGCTCTAACAAGAAAACAGACTTATTTTGTAAATGAGACTGACAAGACACATTGCTTTCAGTGGCCTCCTGGACATTGTTTCCCATGCACATCATCTCACCTGAAGAATTACTAACTCAGACAGGTTTGTTTGTTGGTTTTTTTTGTTTGTTTGTTTGTTTGTTTGTTTTTTTAAATAAAATAATATCCAAAATACTTCTTAGACATTATTTTAGGGTTTTTTTTTTGTACTCACCAGAAATGGGTGCGATTCAGAGATGAATGAAGCACATCAGGCCAGTAGTGTCTCATGTCTGACATAAGATCCTAAAAATATCACAATTAATAAATACACCTACAGTGTGAACAGCTATTTATTACACAATCTACCGATATCGATATATTTTCTAGAACTGAAACATCATCGTTCAACATACCCAACTGAAACATTTATTCACAGAAAAATAAAAGGTCTTTTTCTCCAATATTCTGAAAATGCTGTTGTTGGAGGTAACAGGTAGGTACGACTACCTAAATATCTGAATACCAACACACTGCCTCAAAGCAAGATTTTTCCCTCAACTGTCCCTGAAGAAGTTGTTCAATCATGCAGCTTTTTACATTTGTCAGCTCAAGCCTCCTATCCCCATTTACAACACATTTTAATGAAATACAGATTTTTTTTTTTAAATTTAAAAAAAAATAATAAAAAAGGACTAATGCCCTGTGAGGAAACACACAGAAAAATGTAATCTGAACTGTTGTGTATTTTCTGTGCTCTGGCTTTGCAGTAGAAAATAGAAGAGAGAACATGAACTGACTGTAACGTCTTTTTCACAGGTACTTTTTGCCACTGCAGATCCACCACCTATGTTCTCTAGATTTTTTTTTAAGGAGGATGTGGCTGAATGAGTCAAACCACACGACTACAAAATCAAGTAGAAACAGCTGCTAATGAGCACTGCAAGCACTGCAACTTCAAATAGTACCAGAAGCACCTAATGAATTTATGGAGTGCAGGAGAGGATCATACCTCTCATTAAACATTAAGAGTGATACATTATAAACTAGAGATTTTGCATATAGGATATGTAAAAGTAATTGCACTCAGCTCTGCTTAGTATGACTGTTTTTGTTTTAAATAAATACCTTGATCTCAGTGACATTGAAATGCCATGTCCTATTACAGTCTTCAGTTTTGTCAGGCCTAGGGAAGCAAAATAAAAAGTGAAAAAAAGATGCCTTGTAACTCACTAATGGTAACTAACAGCATTCTCTTCTACACCATTAGTCTGCATTTTAAATGTGCAGGATCATAGCTAGAGATTTTATTTAAAAATGCAAGTAACCCATCAGCATCTACAGTGGTTTAGAAATAAAAATTCAAGACATTAATTATGGTCAATACATTTCTCATGCAAAGGCTCTTCATTAGGCCCTCTACTCCCTTCACTCCATGTAAAAGACAAAAGAGGGGAACTAAATGATATGGAAGGGTCTTGCACATGATGTCACTAATGACACTGACCTCCTCAACCACTGCACCAAGTGATGATTCTGCAAGTATCACCAAGACACTCGCTGGAAACCTAGACATAATGCTGTTCACCTTTCCAGGACACATAGCTTAAACTCCTGTACTGAATTTTTCCCTCTATTTGTCAGGAAAGACTCTGAATTGCTGCCATTGACACCAATTCCAGTGAATTGATTCCTTTGAAGCAAATTAGTTTTTCCTGTACTTTTGCAATATTTGTGCTGAGTTAAGATATTTAAAGCCACAAGCAGTCATGAGACATTAACAAGTCCTGTGTACTCAGAAACTATACTTCCCTTTCTGTTTGAGAACATTACTGATCTTATAAGGAGTTGTATAAATAAAATGCTCATGTGGCAAGAGTATTTCAGGAGCTCAGCAAGTCAAGAGATACAGAAGTGCATTTAAGTTTTATATCAAACCATAGGGCTTTGATTTCCAACAAAATGAAGGCTTTTGTTTCAAGGAGTCATAAAAACAGACAGATAAAGCCCTCAAAGAAAAGCATTCAATATCATGGTACAGAACTTGATTGTTCCTTTCCAGGTGGAAATAAAAACATTCTGTGATCATACCACAGTCCATGGATTGTCCAGTACTGTGGAGGGTCTTGACAATCATTAGCACTCATCTGTGAAAAACAAAAATAAAGAATATTTGTTATATGTGTCCGTGGATAAAGGTTTAGATGAAAAAAATAAAAGCTCATTCGCTGGTGATCCAAGGTTCTAGTTAGAGACATGAGAACTTTTGCTTGCCCGAATCAGGAACTGGCGAACTCCAGTTACTTGAAGCTATCATGAATCATGTACCACTTAACACAGACCAACTGGCATTAAAGTTCTGATGTAGATCAAGTGAGTATCCTGAACAGGCAGTGTAAAAAGAAGACAAAGGACAGGTTCTGAGGTAACAGAAAGTAGCCTGATCCATGTTAAGTGAATGGAGCTAAATCTGTATTTACCATACTCCAGATGGCAGCTGTCTGTATTTTTTTCATCATCAGATCTTTTGAAGGAATGCAGAGCCATTAAAATAAAAACCATCAAAATAAACTATAATATTAGACAAGCACACAACCATCATTAAGCATCCAGGAGTAGTTTTGTTGTAGTATTAAAAAGGGAAAAATAAAAAGAAGAGATGGAATAGGTTGCTTATTCAAAGTAAAATTGTTAGAAAATATTTTAAAAATATTTTTACTTGAGGGACAAGGGAATGGAGACAAGAAGAAAGACTATATAAATTCCTACAGAAAAAAAAAGCTTCCAGTCAAAACTTTTGATAATGCAGGAGAAATAGCCTACACATTAAATATTGTTTAGAGCAGAGCACATATTCCTGAAAAAACAAACAAACAAACAAAAAATTAACGTTCACACATCATAGAATACCATTGCTGTATTTTCTCTGATTATTCTGCTCAGTAATTATGCCTCTCTTTAGTAAACACTTTTCTCCATTAAGTAACAAGCTCTTCAGACCTTTCCCCATAATAATAGCTTTCCTCTTCAGCTCTGCATCCTGTCTTAATTATGCCACAATGCCTTTTATGTGATGCCAGAGCAAAAGCAGAGCGTAGAGAAGAGCAGAGAGAGGCCTGTAATCTCACTAATTGCCTTCCACACGCCACAGGCCAGTGGCAGCAAAACTGCCAGCTCTGCAAGACTTGCTTGTTCTGTGCCCATTTCCTTCCTCTCCTCTCTTGCCACCTATAATAGAAGCAATTAAACCCAGCAACAGCTTTTTTTCCTGAAAGGAATATTTTCAACAAACACATACTGCTAATGCCTAAACAATATCGCTCCTGTCATGACACAAGCTTTGTAGAGCTGAAAAAGTTCAGCCATCTAGCCCAAAATACAGCAAATTAATAGCCAGCAGCTGAAAAACAACCTGACAGCGAACCAGCTCACTCAACCGAGGGAGGTAACAAGAACAGTACAATTGTGCTCCTTCTCCAATCTTTAACCACAGTTCCCAGACCTGCTAAAGGCAAGCCTAGAGTATTTTAAATTTGGAATCAATTCTCCCCTGTCATGGCACTAACTTTATTAGCAGTTTCTCCTATACATTTCATCAGGCTCTTGGCGTCACGCTGTGTGTTGGCAGAACTATGAGGTAAATGCAACCTACAACGCATTAGTTCTCACCCTGCTTGCTTTGGCTAGTTTCATTCATCCTCTTTTTTAATTCTAGCCATAGTATTTTTCCAATGTTCACTTTAAATAAATATCATAAAACGAACCAATGTTAGTTTGCTAGTAGAGAAGCTGGCTACACCTGCTGCTTCTGCAAAACCACTTCTTACCAGCCTTCCTGTTTATCATACACTGATTGCTGAAGGATTAATTCAACCTCAGGGAACCACTGACTTGAAACAGAGTTACAAATGCGTATTTTCAAATAATACTATTGTAATAGTATTACAATATATGCTTTTGACAGACATTTGTAAGAAGGTTGTGCTCATTTTTGTTTCCCACCCCTCAAATACAGAAATGCTCAAAGACACCTTCCATAACAGCTTTATAGCTCTCTTCTTCCTGACTGAATCCATATTTGATGACTTATTATTAAAATGCTGGAGCCAACATTAATAAGGTAAAACTTGTTGTGCAGCAGTCAGTTCAAATACTAATTTGCTGTCTTCAGTCAGCCAAGGCAGGCAAGTCTCCTTACAGGGTCTGGTGAGAGTCTAGGATTAAGTTTACAACTTACAAGACACCACAAAAATATGTAACAAGCAATTAAGGCTTAGTGTATAGGATGTCCTACATGGACTATTACATCTGTAACACACCACAATCTTGTCTCGTTTACTGCTACTCTGGAGTGCAGGTGAAGTAGCAAAAGTTACACCAAGATCAGCAAAAGCTTTTCTAAAGATACAGGCATAAGCAAGATTAAATGCTTGATGGGCTTTATTCATTCTGTTTTCAAACATTTATTGTCCAAGGCTACCTTTGTCAAGGTAAAAGAGAACAAAACACAAAAATCTCACCTTACATACAGTCACTGGCCAATGATGAGCAAGATACAGTTTTTTCCAGGTATGAGGGTGGTTGTCACTGGAGAAAGACAGACAAATATATTTTTCCTCAAGTATTTTAAAAAGAGCAATACCTTCAGCCAGCAGCACAACGCTTTTACTAGCACAATGCACTGATTTTAGAGGTTGTTGCTTATCACTTCTATCACAATACTTGAGAACTCCAAACACAGCAGGACAACCTGCTAATAACCACCCCCCCGCGCATTGTTAAACAAATTCCACTCCTAGCATCCTATGTCCATATGCTTTCCATTTCTTAAACACGGAAGAAACAGGCTGTTCTGTTGCTTACTGGCAAGATTTTTACAACAATATAAAAAAAAAAAGGTATCTTTGTTGAGGATGTTAAAAATCTTCTAATTCCCCTTGACGAGTATATTAGCTGAAAAAAGTACACAACATGCTTGCCACTGTAACTACTCTTCTAGAAAAGAAAGACTACAAACAACCACAAGTGATGGAGTTGACACCCTTGCAAGTGTCTCCAACCTCTTAGATTTTTTTTTTTAAAGAAAAAAATCAGAATAAAAAGTAAAGAGCATAAATCTCAAAAATGCTAACTTTATTTTATAGACATTTAATTTTTTAAATGCTTACTATAAATTAAGGAATTTTTAAACATTTAATAAATAATCAAACTGTGACACATTGATAAGGTTACCTAAGGAAGAACTAAAGAAGGAATATCCCATATTTTACAAAAGCCTCTTAGAGTAAAGAGATCTGTAACTCACAGAGGCATCAGTACTGTCTTATTCATATTCAGAGGGAAAAAAAAAAAAAAAGCTTTAAAAAAAAAAAAAAGTGTTGGAAGCCACTTCTTTGTCACTTCTATGTCTTTGCCACTTCTACAGAGGCACTTTCCAACAGTTTGGAACAGACTTATTCTGGATAAACTAGAAGTACAAAAAAATCCTGTTGCTTCAGACACTACAGTAGATATATTCAGCCATTACACAACCACACTAAGTGATTAAATAGAACAGGAAGTGGGAAAATCAACAAAAACAGAACCGTAAATTGTTCAACCTGACAGCACTATAGCACGGTACTGTCAAAACAAATTGCTGTTCTCTGGAAGCTAATAGCCATGTGTCCTTCATTAGTGCTTGCCAGAGGTTATATAAGAAAAAATATGAGAAAGCTAATTCTTCTTAACCTGAGGAAGTAGGGATGCTCCCATGTTACATTACTTCCCAATTTTTTTTCCCCCTCTAGTTATGCTAGTTTGCAGTGGCCACATTTTCTCTTAAGCATTCACATGCATCTGTGGCTTTTCAATAATTTAGCAGAACAGCTCTGGAACAGATCAGGCATAGCCACAATGAAAACTATGAACATTTCTAACTGGTCTTTACTGCTGCTGTGGAAACCTGAACCAATATTGTAGAGCAGTTAGTTTCCTCGCCTTAAAAAGTCCTTGCTTAGAAATATACCGTCTTTCATCTGTATTTGAAATAGCAGCTGAACTTCTGCAACAACACTCAAGTCAAAACAAGTTCTCCTAGAAGACACTTTTTGGCTAAGGAGAGGTCAGAAAAATTTGGTTATTAAATAGAGTAAGTTTTAGAAACTTAAGCTCAGAACTGGAATCCAAGGAAAGCCATTTTCAATACCTCTCCACTTCCAGGGATATTTCCCCCTTTTTTGAGCAGAGTTATCCTGCCCTGTGCTTGTAGAGCTACCTCTGCCGCCAAGACAGTGAAGCCACAGGCCGAGTCCTGGGGATTCGAGGAACCTCAGCACAGTGACTAAGCTACCAACCAGCTGCAATGTAGCCGTTATATGAAGTTCAGCACTGAACTGAGCACCCTTAGCCATTTTCTTGACAAAATACTGAAAGGAAGGAGAAAAGTTTATTTCCTAATATAATGCAATACGAATTTGAGCTTTTACCACAAGAGGGTGTGATCTGGGGCATGAGTTCCCCCACGGCCCATTGGCATTCAAGCTCAGATTTTGCCAAGTGCAACAGCCACCAAAAGGCTGCATGGCACTGATATAGCCCTAGTTGGGATGCTGTATGAAAAGGAACTTAAAATAATTGCAACTGAGAAAATAGCAAGAAAAAAAAAAGTATACAGTGTAACAGCTGGTGCAATTCATGCCATAGGGATGATTCCAGTGTTTGTTAGAGGTTCCAAAATAATTTATGTTTTTTGTCATTACTACATCACAAGTCTAAATGATTCATTTAAAGCAAGATTGCAAAGTTTTTAAGTGCAATGAATGTAATTTAAGTTTCCCTCTTTTTTTTTCATAGTGACACATTAATAAATGTAATGCTTTTCTTAGGTATGACCTCCACTCCCCCAGTTAATGTAGATGCCTCATTTTACCAGTCACCTAGGGGAAGAATAACACATCAAAAATAGCACATAATAAAGTAATAAAAGTTACATTCATTAGAAGTTAAACTATTCTGTTCTGCACTTAAAGAACTGTCAGAGATTTCTTTTTAAAGCATAAACTTACCTTTGAGTGAATTTATCTGAAGTACACCAACAACATAATGTCATAGAAAACCAACCCAGAATCCAATAGTGCAGCTTTGCAGGCTTCATTTTGTTAATCAAGTAGCTGCAAAAAGGTGTTAAAGAAGAAATCTTGTTACTTATCCAATGCACTAAATTGCAAGTAATAAAATGCAGAAAAACACAACTATCTTGGAAACAGCAGGTAACATCAAGTGTAGACTAGATTTACAACCATGGGTAAAATGAGGATCACTTTCAATGCTGTGCCTGATTCCCCAGCTTGCATGCTAGTTTTTATAAACTAAGGGCATCAAGGGTGAGACCACAGGTTCCTTTTTTTTTTTTTCTCTCTTTACTTGCAGAGTCACAATAGAGACACTTCCCAATAAACAGAGATACATAAATCTTCTATGCAACCATACTTTATGTAATGTAAGACTCATTACATTAATGTAATTAATGTAATCACATTAATGTAAGACTCGTGGGCAGCTCAAATGTGTGAAGTGATTTATTAAAGAAAGTTGAACATTGAATATTGATGTCAGATTGACCAAAGCTAATATTAGAAACTCATTAGAAGTGGAGTATTATGTGCAAGGATGAAATTCTCTCTAAATGCCAGCTGACTACTAAACTGATGTTAAAAAAATTGCTGCTAAAACCAGATTAGTTTCTGTTCTTGTTACAAACCTGAGACAGCCTCTACGAAACCACACACGTTCTGCCTACTGCCTCATGAACCCTAGAAATTAGGGGAGAGAAAAATAAAACAACCAAATCAGCTTAACTTTCACCAACAGGAGGACTTTCACTTGACACAGGTCAAAAAAAACCCCAGCTGCCTCCGGTATCCACCAGCCATTTCACAGATGCCACCTCCTAGATGCCAGAAATAGATGTACAAGCATGTATTTACATGCAATTATTAATGCCTCAGCAAACCTACTTTCCCATTTTCTCATTTTGAGAACCCTGAAAAAAGCACAAGACACTGCGTGTAACCTATGTGCCCCCTCTGAGATCGCTCACTATACAAGTCATATCTCTTTTTGCTATGAAGGTTTTAAAATTAATCCTTTCTGATAACAGTTAAGCAAAGCCTGTTTTGACACCAGTTAAGACACTGCTGATTCAGCCATTAAGGTTAACTTCAGGAAATTCAGTGTAATTCTGACCCATGGCCCATTATAAACAAGAGTCCATTTTCTCCCCATTATTGGGTGGTTCTGGACCCAGCCTGCAGCCCCCCAAAAGCTCTACCCTGCAGTTCTGCAAACGCTGTGGCAGAGCGGACGGATGCAGGAGGCAGCCTCCCAGCTTGCAAAACATGTTGAGATTTCAACACTGGTGAGGGGTTTGGGCAACAGCCGTAACAGTTAACCAGCTAGATTTACTACAAGATTTTGCTAAATTGTGAAGAAACTACAGCCCTTAAGCTATTCATTTATTTCATAGGTTAATGCCTCTCTAATTTGTAATGGCCATATTATCAACGTAAACAGCTTGGCCTAATAGAAGATATTACTATGTAAATCTTAGTTGGCAACTCATTTATTTTCTGATCTAGTTTCTTAAAAAAGGTCTGAAGGATTTTCACTCACCAGGCAAGATGAGCATAAAAAAACTTCAAATAATTTGGAGTGTACTACTTGTATACAAAAGCAATTGATAATGTAGAACTAATCTTTAACAAAAGCTAGCTGAAGCAAGACTGAGATTTTGTATTAAAGAAATTGATATATATTCACATAATGTACAAAAAAAAAAAATAAATCTCAAATAGGTACTTAACTGCCAGCTAGACAATTTCCCCAAGACTTCCGCATTTAAAGTGATCTCAGGTCTCATCACTTGAACAGTAGGAATTAATGATGCAAGATTCAACCTTATAGATTTGCTTACAATTTCATCTACTGTTATTTTCAACTGATAACCAAACAAGCAAGACCTTAACAAACTATCTACCCAAGATAAAACACTGAGAGATGCAAGGAATCTTCAGGTAAAATTCTGCCCTACCTACAAAAAGCTTATTTCTTCAGAGAGCAAAAAGTACCACAACATTCTGTATTATTCTGCACCCTGGAACCAGAACGCAGGGACATGAGAGACGGTGAGCAGATCTGAAAGGCCCCGAATCTGTAACTTTTATGTAACAAATTATATTTTCTGCACTCATAAACAATACATAAACTATCTCTTAGGTTTTAGCTTGGAAGCCAGTACTGCAGCTATCATTACACTGTCACAACAGAATGAGTGATTTACTTAAGCTGAACTTTTATTCATACGTGACATTGATGGTGGGAGGTGAAAAGTGCATCAGTCTCACCTGAAAAGCACTCATATGCTCATTTGAGGAAATACACATCCCAATCAAAACTGTATTAACAACTAAGATGTAAGAACACATCCAGTTTTAATAAAAATTGCTTCTGTTTCCCTAAAGACTACACTGGATTACTAATCCCACAAATACAATAAAGAAGAGATTAACAAATCTTACACCAATTCTACTGTAATAAGAAGAAACAGAGATTTCATATCATGATAGTTATAAAAAAGTCATAATGTTCACAAAAACTTTGTAATGAAGAAAAGTTAAAACTTCAAAATGAAATACGCACAGATACATAAAATCATTATGTGAAACCAGGCTATCAACTCATTTTCACTATAGATAAAATTCTAAATAATAATAGCTTTGGAGTGACTCTTGGTTTACTATACCTGGATATGAATGCACAACATGTTTCTGTGTATTAGTAAATTAGCCAGGACAAGGACAGTTTCAGCTACCTTAGCATTGATCAGTGCTGGTATCAAAAGTGCCTGCCCAAATTTAGGAAGGACGAGGGAGAACTTGTAAATAATTGTGATGAAATCTTTAACACATTTACTATAATTTGAATTCTAATATACCATCTCGGTGGGGCTGCTGACATAGCATATGCTTCTTTTGGACACTAGCAATTAGTTACCTGTATTCTACTCCCTTATTTTCTTCTTTTGCTTTTAACAACTAGCTTGACTAATAAACCCCACATTTATATAAAATTTCCTGGTTTACACTTTAGTTCAGGCACATAGACTTAGGGAGCAGAGAAGAGGCTACAGAAGAGCCCTTAAACATGAGTGAGAGGACTCACACAGCTAACAGCATGGCACGCATGCAGACAGGTGTTGACAACAATGGCCAGAGATGAGAATTAGGGCAGCTAGCCTGACATCTGAAAGCACAAAAATGAACATGTAAGGTCTTGGCGCCATCTCAAACAAGGCAGCGCACACTACATCTGCCACAGCGAGTCAGACAGCCAAGTTACAAAACTATGTGCCAGAAGCATTAACTTAATTTATAACAACGCTCTGAGCTCTGGCAACTTTTACCTCCACAGCCCACTCCCACCAAACCATTCTTCCCAAGCCTGTGCGCTGCCTAAAAACAAGAAGCACCTCAAAGATTTTCAGATGCAATACTCACGTGCACTGATACAGCACATTTTTTAGCAGAACTTTCTCACTGCTTCTCTCACAAGGTACAATTAAAAGCAGAACGTGCGCAGCAGTGGTTTTAGGGCGAGCCTGGGGGGAGCTTGGTGCTGTGCTGTGCTCTGAGCTGTGCTTCCACCCGCTTCCCGGAGGAGTCCAAGGCGGCACCTTGCTTTCCTCGCATACAAACTAACACACGGCTCGACTTTTAGCACAGCGCTGTACGATTTAACTTCCTGGAGTGCTTGCTCCAGATAAATAATCACCACATTGTATTACAAGGGTATTTTTTAAATCGTAAAGAATGCAACAGCGCAGAGCACCCGAAGAGGGATGCCTGCAAGTGACAGGAGGCCACAAAGCTGATGACAAGTGTACAAAGGGAAAACTATAAACAGAGTTTTTCCAACTCTTGGAAATGCTGCAATTTCTTTGGCTGACTTTAAATTTGCTTCACAGGGAATTTAAGGCATAAGAAATGAAACCCGAGACGACTGGAGCTCTCACCAGTCCTGCAAATCCCACCTAACCTCCTGCAAGTCCCTAACCTCACTGGAGGCAACAGGCAAAAAGCTGACACCGAAGCAGCTCGGGCAGCCGAGCGCTGCCTTTCCCCGGCGCGGCTGCTGCCGGCACAGCCCGGCCACGCGCGGGGCAAGAGAGAGCAGCGGGGAGGCGGGCGCAGAGAGGCTTCCACACCCGACCTCCCTGCCCGGCACCGGGGGCCGCACCACACCTCAGCCCGCCCTGC